TAATTATATAAAACATTTTTTTCCAAAATCTAATTAAATATTTATGTTAAATATATATTATACAATTTTTTTTCTTATTCAATTATTTCTATATTACTTTATTTTAGGCAACAATCTGTTCGGAAATATAAAGACGCTTATTTAAGAGAAAGATGTTGAGGAACCAGGCTGCAAACTTGATTTATCCATGAAGTTGTTAGAGTTATCCTTTTTGCCGAATAGAGGTATCAGCACACTGTCATACACATAATTATGTTATCAAATAATATTAAATACTACACATCACACTATATTACTTTGTCACTTAGAAATGAGTTAATATGAATTGTCTATAGTGTTATCAACGTTGATATCGATTTAACTAATAATTATTTCTAGCGAGATATTAAAGATGTATTAATAATGAAAAATTATGAAAAAATTACAAATTTTAGATCGTATTTAAAAATCATACAAAAAAAGATGGCAGCGACAGAAGCACCTGGATTAAAAATTATTTCGATATAAAAAGTAGTACTTTTTTATCTGTGTTATAGAATATCTATAGAAATGTATTATAACATAAAAAAACATATTTGTAAAAATCGATACAATACATCCTTAAATAAAAATCAGGCAGTTCATGATTTATTGTCACGAAACGCATAAAATACTCAAATTTAATGAATTTTAAAGAAGATAAAATTGAATTTATAGAAGAAATCACCTTTTTTCTTTTATTAAATCGTTCAGGTTACCAGTTAGAATTCCAGCTAAAGCAATCGCTGCGTAATAATCATTGAAATTTTCTTTTGTTAGTAGAAAATTAGCAGCTTCTTGAATAAGTGGTTCAGATACCAGAACAACCCGATCGAACAAATAATACCTTATGTCTTGAAGTAAATTTTTATATCCCATATATACATTCGGACCGGGAAAAGCTATGTTATAACATTTTTGTCTAATATTGTTGATTAAAAGATCTTGAACTTTAGTTTGGACCTCCTATTAGGATTGAGATGTTATACATATAATTTACAAATTAATTTAAAATAGATATAACTGTTTTCATGAAACAAACTACGTTTATTAAATTGAAACATGAAATTAATCACATAATAAATTACGATTATAAAAAAGCACTTTTTCACTTACGATAATTTTTATATTTGAATTCCATTCTTTGATAGCCATTGCAATAGCTGCGTTTACTCCACAAGCATCGACCGTCGTCGGCAATATCACTGCATCAATTTTCTTTCCAAAATCTAACTGTTCAAAAATTTCTAGGCCCAAAGTAGCTTGGCCAATAATCATATCTGGATGATCGTTTCTATTAAAAAAAATATCATAAAATTTGATTATGAAGACAATAATAAAATATATAAGATTATAAATACGTAAAAATTAATATTTTTTTTAATTAACTACTTTTCGAACAATAGAATGAAATCTGTCACACAAAGAAAATAGAAATAATTGATGGAAATATCATCTTTTAATGAGAATGTATTTTAATTAATAGCGAATTCGATTGGATGCATTCAGTGTCTGGAGCACATTAAAACCGTCGTACACAAATTGACGTAAAACTGTGTGTTTAATATAAATATAAAAATATATTAAATCATAAAATTCATAAAATTCAATCATAAAATTCAAAATACTTGCATTTTACTTTTACACAGTTTATCGTTCCAGACACAAATTAAAAATAACATAATGTCAATGTTATAATTTCGTATTCTATAATGTAACTATTATATAATGCCATGAGCTACATATATATTGTAGTATTACATATATTCTAGAGTGCGGAATTATAATATTGATGTTATATAGTTTTTAATTTGTGGCGCTTGGGATCAATGTACATCTAATATGCACTAATAAGCATTTAACTAAGATTGAAAATAGAGTACCCGTCAAGATAACATAAACCTCTTGTTCTGGCAATTTGCAAAGCGATATTATATACTTCTACTATATTGTCACCCTGAGCAATTACTGTTGCTCCCAGATATTGACACTTATCAACTATTTCCTGTGCCGTTGATTTCTGCATCACTACTGTCACTGGTATTCTAAACTTCTGTCCAAAATAACAAAGAATTTGAGCAAAATATCCCATTGAGATTGCTATGACACCGTTGTGTTTCTGCTCATCAGTTAGCTGTAGCAGAGTATAAATCACACCGCGTATTTGGATGCTATTCATATGTTGATCAAGCTCTTTCTTGAAATAGATATGGACCCCTATTTTTCTCAATAACGAACTCTGAATCAATTAAATTAGATTTGATTAAAAATCGTTAGGATTCCTTAAAGGATTTTTTATAAATGTTTTTCGTTATATAATGTTTGAATCAAAGTCACACACATATACAGTACCAGTTAAAAATTTAGACTATATAAAAACGGCTATAATTTATAAACAGACGAAAATATATAATGTACAACAAATTTATTGCATGTAAAGACTACATTTGAACATAATTTAAATTTTTTCTTGAAGAAAAACTTGTAACAAAAACAAATATTTTGTAGTAATCTAATTTTTAAGTTTTGACACAATCATTAGCTTATCTTCATCGATAATACATGTATCTTCCCAGTGAAAAATGACCGTCAATTTGACGTTCGAGTTCGATCATTTTTCACTGGATTCCTCCTCGGATTTTTATCACAGCAACATAAATTTTTAACATCCTTTTTATTAGTTTAAATAACGTTTCCACTGGAATAGCTTCCTAGACATTTATTTTTTTATTTTTCAATATTTTGGTAGATATATTATTAAGATATATTAAAGTTGAAATTATTGAAGCTTTTAGATTTTGAGTAAAGTACTTATATTCTTCGAACAGCTAAAATTTGAAACAAAAAACAGTTAAATTAAGAAAGTTTTATGGAATTAATTACCTCAGTGAGTGGTGTTTTAAAAATATATTCTCTTATTTGAAATAGTGCCGATCTGATGACCTCGAACGAAATATATTTTCGCCTTGATCTGGTTTTCTGTAAACCCAGTTCTATTATATACTACAAAAAAAAGTACATTAGCAAACTTATATTTTTGTATATTTCACGAATATTACTCCGAATAGAATATTTGAGACAGAAGAAATATTATTCTTGAACTTTTTATAACTATTTTCGAAATATGGAAATATTATCATACATATATATGTATGTACATTGTGCAATGAGTATTAAATTTTAAAATTATGATTGATTAAATTTGCAATACCCAGAAATGGATTTTTCCTGATCGAATTCGTCGATATATTGGAAAAATTATAGTATAAGAAAATGGAAGGTAAACATTGATTTTTTTCATTGCCTTCCTTTTTATTTTTCTGTTTATTTCTTAATGGACACAGATTTAGAAAATAAAAAGTTACTTATTCGATGAAAACCACTTGATACATAATTGCAAGTAATCTACAATGTCAAGGAATAATGTCAAGCTTGATTTGACTCTTGTCAGAAACTAATCTTTTTCTTGTCAAGAACAGATGTTATTTATTTGTACTTGTTATTAACAACTCATCATTCAACCTTTCTCGAAGTTTTGGTTTTTTTTTTCAATAGCTATCACAATATATGATATACACACACACACACACACACACACACACACACACACACACACACACACACACACACACACACACATTATTAAAACTTATTATCAATTCATTAGTTTTATTATTTTATTACACATCCTTTTCCTCTACACAATCACACTTACAAAAATATTTCGGAACGCAAAAACTAATGTCATAATAAAAATTGAAGACATCATATATTTAACATAAAAAAAGTATTGGGTATTAGGTTAATGCTTTTAGCTGGAATTAGTTGAAAAAGAATAAAACCAAAAAGAAATAAGGAATATTGGATTAAAAAAAACTAGGAGAGATTATCTTGAAAAAATATCTTAGCAAAATGTACTCGTAATAATTATATGAATATTAATAAAAATTATAATGTTCAAAGGTTATACAAAGCAATAATGATATGTTTTGTTAAGTTTATTTTATTCCGCTATATCGATATATAATATTGTACAATTATTTTATAAATCTTTCCAAAACTGCAAGACATAAAATAAGTAAATGTACATCTAAAAACAATATCTACACATCAAAATACAAACAAGAAAAATTATCGTCGGTCATTTTATTTTAGACAAAATAATATGAATAATGTATTCTCACGATGGAAAAATAGGAAAAGACAATGTAAAAATTTAAGTAAATCAGTACAGTATATGAAAAAAATGTTTATTCAATTTTTGTCTTGCAGAAAAAAATAAATTGATATTTGTTCCATATAAAAAAATTTATTATTGCTAAGTACACTGTACTCTGAATTCAGTTGCCATAATCGAGCTCAGCAATGCTTTCGGAATCATTATCATTATATGTTATACATTTTCAAGGAGACTTGTTCTTCTGATCCATTTTTGTAAGCATTTTTTACGGAAGTGGTACATGTTCACTAATATCGTGTATACATCTAGCAGAGAAAATTATATTATTCGTATATATACATATATGTGTCTTAATTATCATATTTTAAATAAACAAACCTTGGGATTTTATTGCCATGTGACGCTATCCTCACTCATACTCAATTCCTTTTTTAAATAATGTTTCCGCGGTTCTTCTCTGCATCCTAATGGCGGACTCGAAATATTACTTCTGGGTTTTGAATCTTTGTCTTCTTTTACTAACTGCATTTCTGCATTTCTATAAAAAATTTGTTTACATTTGATTGTGAATCTCTTTTTAAGATTATCATCTAAATATTAATCACTATTTTCACATATTTTCGAAGATCATCCTTCGATTTATTTCTACTGATTAATGATGCATTTTCGATAGAATTCATTGTTAACCACGCTTTCGTTATGATCTTCAACAGGTTGTACATTAATCCAATTATGTGCTTCTAGTGATTAAGCGGTATGTTTTATTAATTCCTGAGAAAGTTTAGTGTAATAATTTGGCATTGATTCTGATTTTTTAGAACCTTTAAAATCAAAACATTTATCTCCGTGAATTTTTTGAATCGGAGAAATATTATCTATTTTATTCCCTATAATAATATTTTTTTAATTTATGCACAAAAGTGTTATAATCATGATGATATTAACAAATAATTGTATGTGAATTCAAATATATTGTGTGATTAACCCGATATAATGTGTAGAGCCTGTTGCCATTGCTTTTGCATAATGGAATGCAATTATTCTGCAAATTGAAATTTTGATGCACGCTGAGAATTCAAATGCTTTTCTAATAGAAATGATCTCTCTGTAAAACTTGAGCTAATTGCAGTTCGCATAATCGTTTTTCCTCTTTATGTTTTTCTTCTAGCAAGTTTATTTCTAAACGATATAAATTATACATAATTTATTGCTATATAAAAATATATAAGGAACGAACTTATCAATAACACCCTTTATCTTTCTAGCAGCGCATTCAGCTATAACTTACTATCTTGTTTTTAATTCCTCTAAAAATTCTGATTTGGCATTATCAAGTTGCATTTGAAATTCTTGCAATTTTGCTTTTATCAACTCATCCACCTATTTCTGATAAACCTTTTGTAACTCTGCTCTGATTTTTTCCTTTTGTTCTGCAACAGATTTGGTTTCATCTTTAGCTAATTTCTGAAACAATAGCACAAATAAGTATATGGTTAATAAAATAATAAAACTTGATAACTGTGACAAATAATTCAACATATATATTACTTCTGCTTTCTTAGTGTCGTCAATGGATACAAACAATGAATTATCTCTGGACTCAATCGTAGAAATTCAAGACTCCAATGATTGCATATATTCTACCAGCTCCGAGATAACACCGGACCTTCCGTAAACCGTTTTGACATGATTGCTCAAACTGGTGTCAGAGTCGGAAGACGGTACGTGGAATACATCAAGCGATCAGAAGCAAAACATCCGTGTCATTAGACTCGCTCATTATCCATCTAAACAGTCGTCTGTCACCGGTAGCAAATTATTAAGCAATTACCACAGGCCAATCGATATTTGCAAAGCGCTCGCAAAGCGATCCATCATTGATATTTATATATGTACAGAATGTATGTGGAGAAATAGCCAGCGTCGTGTACCGGTTAGGTTAGGTTCAATTTCTTGCAGCATGTATTTACAGAAGGTTTGTTATAGCGTATATTATATGTCCGACTAACGCTCATAAATGACGATTAATCATTTCCAGTTCGCCGTGGACAAGCCGCATCACGAAGATATACACAGCTCCGAAAATTTGTAAACAAACTTGAATGACACTCATGCACCATAAGAGACAACATAACCTTGCTTAGAACTGTCAAATCATCCTTATAACATATACTAGCGCCAATACATCCATTTTTAATTTAGAAACTACGTATATAGTTACGTGTATATATATATATATATATATATTGGCGATAAAATTATGTCGAAAATAAATGTGATGCGACCCCTACTAAATCGCAGTACTATAAATTACATACTAAATTACTTTATAATATAAATTTTCTCTAATTTATAAATCATAAACAAAATAAAATATTTTTTTTTTTTTAATATAATTTCTAGTCCGTATTCAGAGCGCGTTTTTCATATCCCCTTTTATGTTTGAAATTTTACATTGTAACGCGCTAAACTATATACTAAATACGCATCATAAAAGTGCATACCGAACACGATTTCTCTACCTTGACAAAACGCACAGCTCTAAATTTCGAAAATGACTGAGATTTTTCACATGTAGCATTTATATACCCATATCCGAAAGCTAGCGCGATCCAATGAGCGCCCGCAACGCAGAGGCAACGCGCTCATTGGCTGGCATGCGAGGTGGTGGGGTTCGCAGTCTGACGGCTAATATAAATACCGTATAATTTCCGATTTCACACTATTACAATTCGAGCAGGGGACGGGGATGTATCCCGTCATTCTAATGTTGGAAAAGTTCGCAACCCTTCCAATCAATTATAACTTTCTCTATATCTTATATTCTATAATCTTTCTTAAATTCTTATATTCCAATCTCTCAGAATATAAAATGACGAGGAAACGGCACGAAAGAGTCGTCCATCATTGGATTTATTTACTAAGGTAATCAATAATTTTCTTTGTCTTTACTTTTTATAACAGTTTAAATATCGCGTAGTGTAGAATCTAATATAGTACTAGTACAATGATTATTCGGATGAACGTATCTTTCTCAATACTCAATACGTCGTGTCGTCGTGTCTCGCGTCGCTAATTATTTTTACGCGTGAAGTTAGCCGCGCGCGGAAACGACCGCCGCTCTTCCATTTTTATCGCATTCACATTTTATTCGCGGACTGCAGTAGATAGGAGATGACACGGCGGAATGGACTGGCTCTCAGACGAGTGGCAACGCGATTACGGTAATTAAAACCTATATAAAACCAGAATGTATAACTTGAATGTATGTTATCGATATTTAACTACCGCATGATTCCATATTTGTATATTTAATAATCCGTTCGAATGCGTATTATGTATAACTTATTCGCCGAAAGTATATCACTTGAATAATTAGCAATGAGATTTTCGAATATCAAACTACAATACGGAAATGATAATCGTAAAAGGCGAGCGTATTATAATACACGCGCTCGTCTTTTATGATGATTATTATTTTCATATTGTAGATTGATATCAGATATCTGATGCTTGAAATACGGAAAATTCCATGAACGCGACGCCAAGAGTGAGAAGTGCAGTGTCGCTTTTGGCGCGCTAGGTTAACCGCGCAAAAATAAAGTCTTTTTAATTACAATTACGCTTCATTTACACATTTCGATCTATAATTGAAGCGTAAATGTAATCAAGAGATGATTGACATCGTGATCATAAGATAATTGAAACTTATATTAAATCTATATTTGTCGTTTATTGCAACACTTAGTTCGCTCAATTATAAATTCAATATTTACAAAGAGAAAGACGCGCATTGCCACCGTTGCCCTTATGCCTATTTTCACCAACGTAGATTAACTTTAATCTCGGTTCAACTTACTCTTCATCTTTTTCTAATCTTTAGAACTAGAAAAAGACGAAGAGTAGGTTGAACCGAGATTAAAGTTAATCTACGTTGGTGGAAACAAACATTAGCGTGTGAAATTGATCACGCGACAGATGAAATTACTTCAACACATTAATTACATTATTTATTTGCAGAATGCGACGAATACGAGATGGGCCGGCTCCAAATGAATGCTGTTGCGATTTATTGAATTGGTAAAATTTATATTAATCTAATTCTTAAAAATCTAATTCTTAAAATATCTAATACCCCAGCAAATGAGAATGGATTAAAATGGATTGAAATCTTTTTCTATCCGAATTTATTCTTATAAAGAATTATTTGAGAAAATGTATAATTATTTTAATGGATATATAATTGAAAAATTATTAAAAAATTCAATGTGTATAAAAATTAGTTTTTTAATTATTGATTATTTTGAACGTTGTTTTAATTTGTACCTTGTAATTGTATGTTACAGAATCACATAGCTGATAAACTCCACTCCTGCGCATCAGTCGGTCTTCCTTCTTTTTTTATTACGTACGCGTAGCCACCTCGGCCGCGATTAGGCTATTAAGGTTAGTGAAGATGTAGTAATATGTAATGGAGACTTTTCACGGCTCTATACTGAGAGGTCGGAGCATCGGTCGGTGACTGACAAAGATTTTATCAGGTAACGAATCTGTGAAAAATGTAGATCTATTATTATATTAGAAATGAATATAACGCTTTATAGATCCATTACTTTAAAATGGATTAGCTACAAAAGATTATGATACATATTTAATGTTGGATTTGTCTATCATTATTTGTCAACTTGATCTGCGTTTTGTGTGCTATTGTGCTTGAGGCTATTATGTTTATATCCGGAAAAAAAATCTTTTATATATAATTATATTAAAAATTGACACATTTTCTATATAATTACATATAATTATTATAAAATATGTACAATATGTATAATATTTTTCCTCGAGTATTTACACAAGCATACATAAAAAAGAAAATGAAATAGAATTTAATAAAGAGTTTGTGTTATAAATTAGATAAAATTAATAAAATTATATAATATTAAAAAATCAAGTAAGAACATAAATATATTTAATTTTATTGAATTATTATTTGATTCACACATATTAGAAATAATTAAATTTTTTAATTCGAAAGGATTTTAAACAAAAATTTTTTTCTTTACTGACAATATAAATTAGAAAAAATATTTAAATACAAAATTTTAATAAAAAGTTATATGGATATAAAAAAATTACTAATTTAGAAATAATTGGTTTTTAAATTAAAATTGAAATAAATAATGAAAAAGTAAAGAAAAAATAAAATATTGTGTAAACAAAATATTTTAAAATTCAAAGAATTCCACAGATTCTTTATTTTTAAATTAGTACAGTACAATATTCATTTAATATATATGACATAAAAATAAAGAATATTTTGATACACACAACAAAATCTATAATCAAACGAGTTATGCATTTATTTTCCTTAATCTCATTCCCAAATATTCATCCAAGATTAAATATGCTATAAATTGATGCAAAGAAAAAATATGTACATTTTAAAAAATATTTTTGCAATGCGTATAAATAAAAAAAATTGTTTTTTACAAGAAAAATATACAATAATGTTATTACAATGACTGATTAATTCTTATGTTGCACACACAACACGCGCGCGCGCGCACACACACACACACACACACACACACACACACACACACACACACACACACACACACACATGTAAATATATATATACATATAAATATATAAAATGCAATACTACATGTGATTATAAATAATTAATTTTTGAACATTCACAGCATCAATTTTAATATAATAGATTGTAGCTTATTTATTTGGTTGATTGATAAAATAAATTTACAGCAAATAAAGCAAATAAGTGACATAAAATCCCATAAGTTGCTTGTAGCGGAACACACAAGAACTTTTTAAATTATATTAACGTTTTTTCCATTAAAATTTTTCTATAAAAAAGATATTTTCGTATAATACACATTACAACTAGATGTAAGTGATATTACAATGATATAAATGCAACTGATAAGGAGCTTATAAGTCACAACGCAGAGTTTTTTCGCGCAGTATTTGGTAAAAAATTTATCATGCATGAATATGTATAATTATACATATTGTATGCATGTTTATGTATAAATATACATAAATATGCATACGAAATATGCATAAGGAAACATCAAATTTGAAGAAATGTAAAAAAATTATGTATAATTATATATAAAATTATGCTTATTATGTATGAGTAATTTTTTTACATTTTTTTAAACTTGTTTTTTTCTAAAATAAACAATGCGAACAATATTAATGCGTGTTTATATATGTTTATACATATTCATGCATGAAAAATTTTTTACCGGGGATCGAAGTCGTGATTATACAGAGATTTTTTTTCACATAAACGCAAATAATTGTTATACTATTACGTTAAATGTTATAAAACAATACTTTGATTTGCAAAATCACAACAGCATTTGCATATAGCGTGACATAAAGATGAAAATATAAAAAATAATTAGGTATATTAATTGTTATAAAAATTGATTATACCATTAATTAATTTAAAATCAATATGTTTTAATATCATATTTAATATGTGTTCAAGACGAAATTGAGAAACGACAAATTAACTATAAAATTAAATATAAAAATTATAAAAAACAATTCTAATTTATCAAACCGCCAATCAATGCGCCATCGACTTTTTCAAGAATTGTTTTTTCTCTTTCTTTATCACATGTCCGCTTAAAACCTCTTTTCTGTAGTAGCTTCTCCATGGCCTCGGCTTTTTTCTATATTTTATTCACTTCGTAAATTTTTTTTAATTGTTTGTGTGTCATTTAACATTTTAGTTGTATCAGTTTCCTCATGGCATGCAATAAACGGTGCGTATCTTCGGAAATATTTCCGGGTTTTACTCGAAATTTGTATGAATTCGGGATACGGTCCGGGTAGTAAGATCGTTGCAATACGTGCCCAATTCTCGTCACATTTACCGGTCTGTCGAGCTTGTCTCGTAAGACTAGCGTCTAGGAAGCCGATAAGCCGAATTAACCACAATTTATGCACGAGGGATGCGGGCAATACCGCCCCAGAAAGTGGATTGCCTCGCGTCGCGTCTATCAGC